TACTCTGTCACGGCGTCCCAACCCAAAACTCAATTAACCATGTGACCATACGGATACCTCATGACACGCCAGTAGCGTAAACAAACACATGATTATACTCCCTTGGGATCATCCCCAACGAATACTGGTGCTGGAAGCCCATGTGTTTTCTATGTGGTTTTCGTGAAAGTTCATGTGTAATTCGTTATTTAGTGTGTGATAAAAACGCGATCTCGCAGATTCCTTATGTTTATTCCGGACGCAGAAATCTATTTATACAGCGAAATCGTCTAAATTAATCCGTGTCCGTGGTCGTGTCCGTCTCATTTTTCTCACGGACGCGAACACGGATTGAATTGCGAAATCTCCCTAATATATACCAATCATTGGGTACAGGATCATCATATCCGACTTTTTTCCTTCCATTTTTCTTAGCTTGGATAAACTTGACTTCAGTATGAAGTTTAATATTCATTAACTGCAAACGAAAAAGTCGGACCGGACTTCTGACGATAACTCGGATATGCCATATACAGTCCGACTTTAGGTAGTAGTGGTTGGTTGGTACTACCTCCAGGCTCTAAGGTACTGTACTGTCGTTGCTAACTGGCTGTACAAGATCAAGTCGCGGGACTTGACCAAGAATCAAGGCAATATCTTGTGTGAGTGGAAGTTCGCGGTGCAGGAGCTCCAAAACGTTTATAACAGCACGATTGGCACTGCTTTGGGTCGTCCCTACACCACGGTCACGGCTATACCGGTAGATGCATTGCATTTGGCACTACAATGGCCAATTTGCCGTCATCCAGGGGTTTCACTGAACTTGGACGTCAGCTTCGTATGTCCCAAATGAAGATGGTCACATTTGCACGCCTGGCTAGAAAACGTAGACGGGAGACATAAGTTGCTGTAATCCGGGTTTTTATGGCTTTCTCGCATATACACCCTACTTAATGGATTGCACGGCACCCGTATATATATAAGCTCCCCTTACAGTATTTCTCAAACGTTGTGGATGTAGGAGCACAATGAAGTCGGAATTGACAGACTAAATGATGCAACAAAATGTAAAGGCAAGATAATTAGGACGAATTTAAGCCAATGAGAATTGAGTCGGTGAGATGTCCGACTTTATTCGATCACAACACATTAGTGGGAAAAAGTCGGACTGTATCCGAGTTATCGTCGGAAGTCCGGTCCGATTTTTTCGTTTAATGAATATTAAACTTCATACTTAAGTCAAGTTTATCCAAGCTAAGAAAAATGGAAGGAAAAAAGTCGGATCGAAGATCCTGTACACAATGATTGGCATATATTGCTCCAACATGGCAGAAACGACGTCGAATGACCCTTTGTTGCCCACTACAACTCGAAAACTGTCAACAACAGTTCACGACCTTAGTGACAATCGACTTGCAATGAGCTCCAAGCGAAGCTACCGTAGCGGTGTCAAGCAACTTGGCACCTGGCTTCAGTCGTCTGGACGGTCGTCCATGGTAAACGCAGATGGCACAATCAACCTTGTAGTTTTTTCCTACAACGACTTCACCGAGTTTATTCTCTACAAGTACAAGCATGCTGGAGTGTCCTTATCAACTCTCTCATCCTACCGGTCGGCAATTAAGGACCACTACAACTCACAGAACGTGCCACTTCCCACAGAGTTCGCAACATACGCTACTGTCATATACCAAGGTGCATTGCCCACCTTTATAGTTCTGGAGTACCAAACCTCAAACAGGGATTCGACGCTTTGCGCAACTGAGACCCAAGCGGGGGCCATCAAGCCAAGTGGGAAACAACCTCTTCGATTCCACCAATACCAAGTTTTGTGCAAGCAGAGCCTTACAAAAATGGACGTTGGTTTCACTCATCTCTATCTTGTCCTCTCATGGAACCTTATGTGCCGCTCAAGGTCCACTGAGTCTGTGCGAATTGACCGCTTGTCCGACGAAGGTGACGTAATTGGAGTGACCTTTTTCAAGTCCAAGACTGATCAAGGTGGGGCCAAACGTCGTGATCCGAAGCACGTGTATGCAAAACCCATGAGTACTGAAACTTGTTGCATCCTTGCCTTGGGGATTTATCTTGCCTGCAACGCTTAGCACACTTCTGGGAATATGTTCCCTGGGAAGTCGCAGCGTGATCGCTTTGGGCGAAGTCTGTGTCAGCTTGTTGGTGTCGCACTTCCGGCTGCTTCGAGCTCTGTTGGCACTCATTCGCTTCGCAAGGGTGCCGCAACCTACGCAATTGGTGGAAGCACATCGGATCCTTCCATTGTCAATGTCTGCATACGGTGTGGTTGATCCATTGGCAGCGTGGTAGAACGATACGTTCATTACGACGGTGCCGGGGGCCAATACGTTGGTCGAGTCGTCGCTGGTCTTCCACTGGAATCTGGAGGCTTTGCAGCTCTCCCTCATCACTTTGTAGCTGGCAGTGAAGCCATGGTTGCCAACGCTGGTGCTGTAGTTTTTCCAAGGCTGTGGGTCCACGAAGAGCTCCGTGGCGTGTTGAAGCTCTGCCTGGCCTCACTGGTCTACCACAAAGAATTCTTGGAGGCCTCTTTGCCACCCAAGCATCAACTTCTTGCGTCTGTACTGTTTGGAGACTTGACCTTGGCCAACAACTGGGGTTCCAGGGTGACTCTTGCGTCCAACATTTTGCAGCCCACCGGAATCCCTCCACATGTCGGTCTCCACGCCCAGCTGGAGCAAACGTCTGTCCTTGTGCGTACGCTCCCAACTGAAATCTGTGAAGGCATCGAGAAGATCCTTGAAGACAAAGGTATGACCGCCGGCAACATCACTCAGTCGTTGCTTGAAAAGCTTTTGAAGGACGCAGTGGCCTCCGTCGTGTCGTTGACATCAGCGAACAGTTCTACCACGGTCGAATTCACAGACGAATCGATACCAACCCGCCCTGTTCATTACTGGGGAGGGCGATGGCACAACCTTCCTGAAGGTTTTGAGATGCCATCGGCCGATGTTGCAAATGCATGGCATGTTTGGTGGTGTGGCTTACCGGCGCGCGGTTTGCCCCCGCTGTACAAGCTAAGTTCCCGCGACATGTCAAAGAAGCAAGCCAAGATCCTGTGTGAGTGGAGTTTTGCGATTGATGAGCTGCAGAAAGCCTATTTCAGCGCAGCCGGAAGAGAACTGGGTCGTCCAATCAATTCTGCCTCAGTCATAGCTGCCTTCAGCACCATTATGACTGCCTTGCCTTCGTTGTGGGGACAGACTCAACTGGGACAACAGCGTCGCTTGTCTCAGTTGAAGATGGTCACGTTTGCGCGCCTAGCTAGAAAGCGTAGACGAGAGTCGTAGGTATCTAAATCGAATTCATATGCGCATCATTGTTTCGTGTCAGGTTGTGTACAAGATTCATTCGATTTTGAGCCAATCATTGT